ATATTTGTTGATTAACTATATCAAATATACCATTTTAATGTAAGATTAATAATAGAGGGCAGAAGTAAGTCATAAGAAAACTCTTATCTCTGTACTATCTTCTCAGTTTCTACATAAATCTAAAACTATTCTAAACAGAAAATCTATCAACTTAAAGAAAAAAGAAAAACAAGTCACAGTAACTCCACACTGATGGCCTCTTACTCTCTGTAGATAAATTTATAGCTTGGAATTATACCTAGGTGAATAAGGAACCCAGACTAAATAACAGAAGATCTTTATTGTTCTCAATATCCAGGGATATTGAGATACAAAATAAATTCCTGGACTTGTTTCAGACTCTTTCCTCAGTTTCTGAAGTGCCCTATTGGTCTGGGGTCAAATCAGGTCTCCATTAATTCTGGATTTTACTAGCTCAAAATACCCAAACATTCTGGCAGGTGATGTAAGCAAGGAATAGTATAGAAAAAAAACAGTAGTCAAAAAATTCCAACTACGGTACACAAGCCCTTATCAACAGGCTTCTTAAAACAAAGGTGGGCTAAGATACTTGAAGATCCTATCTCTACTAAAACATCTGTTGTCACTTATATTTAAGGTCTTTTTATGTTATTATTCAAACATAACGCATGTCTCTAGAAAGCTATCATTAACTCTTTAAGAACAGAGACCATAAAATCTATGCCCTGAACTACCTTACACCTATTTCCCTTCTTCCTAACAGAATTCTAATTTTGTTCAGGTGTCAATGAGTCCAGCTCTGGACAATGAGGCCTAAGGGGAAGGTTGTCATGGAGTTTCTGGGAGAGCTTTTTGCACTTCTGATAATGAGACAGGCACAGTCAGTAATCCTTTTTCTTCCCCCCCCTCCACCTTAAATATAGACATCATGGTTAGAGCTACAGTTACCACCTTGCAACCCCAAGGCAAACCTGAAAACAAACTGCACTGTTGTTGAGTCATGAACTCCCGCCAATGACAGCCTGCTTCCAAACTTCTTACATAAAACAAACTGTTAAGTCCTAAGAGGAAGCAGGAGGGAAAGCAGAGGGAGAAAAAGAACAATCAAGTTGTGGCTCTCAATACCATAAATAGCAATGGTATATGTGATCTCAACAGCTGAACTTGCTTTTACCTCAAAAAGAATATGTACTCCTCCTTTTCACAAAAGTACTGCAAGAGAAGTAGGGAAGAAATATCATGCAAATCCCTTAAAGGGATCAAAAAACTTCAAACAGTCCAAATCCTTAAACTTATAGGCAGAGCATATCAGAACTCAGTACGCCTTAATCTTGATAGACACCTTTCCATGGTTTGGGAATCACAAAATATCAAATGAAAGCATCTAACAATATCAAACCAGAAACAAAGAAACCAAAATAAAGAAAAAAAAACAAACTTGGAGGTTATGAATATTATGCAAAGGTAAGAAAACTAAACAAAACAAGAAACTTTTTTTCTTTATTCTTAGTTGACAAGTAAAATGTGTGTATTTATGGTTTACAACATGTTAATATATATAAACACTGTAGAATGGCTAAATTAAACTATTGAACATACGGATTACTTCACATAACATTTTTTTGTATGTGAGAACACTTAAAAACCTACTTTTGGCACTTTTCAAGTATACAACATTAATAACTGTGGTCATCATGATGTACAATAGATCTTCCAAATTCATCCCTCCTACTATAACAGTGGTCCACCTTACCTTTTGAACATAGTCCTTGCCCAGGACAGTGGCCCATGCCTGTAACCCCAGCAGCTCAGGAGGCTGAGACAGGAAAATCAGAGTTCAAAGCCAGCCTCAGCAAAAAGCAAGACACTAAGCAACTCAATGAGACCCTGTCTCTAAATAAAATACAAAATAGGGCTGGGGATGTGGCTCAGTGGTAGAGTACCCCTGAGTTCAATCCCTGGTACCAGGAGAAAAAAGAAAAAAAATCCCTTGCTACTTATTTTAAAAGGGACATATTTTTCTTTTCCTTTTCTCCCTCTCTCCCTTCCATAACCTGGGGGCAGGAAACAAGATTACCTTGAAGCTGGGTGTGGTGGCACACACCTGTAATCCCAGGAGCTTGAAAGGCTGAGACAAGAGGACTGCAAGTTCAAAGCCAGCCTCAGCGATGGCAAGGTGCTAAGCAACTCAGTGAGACCCTGTCTCTAAATAAAAAATACAAAATTGGGCTGGGGATGTAGCTCAGTGGTCAAGTGCCCCAGAGTTCTATACCCAGTATGGGGAAGGAAAAAAAAATCCACAGGAAGATGTCACCAGAACTAGGAAGTGACTATCCCCCAAATTAACAAGTGAATTTCAAAACATCACCAGGGTGCATCTGGGACCACCAGCCAGGCCACACCTGGAATGTAGCCTTTGAATAGCTTCTTTAAAAGCCCCGTTTTCCCTGATGGACAGAATAGCAGCCTCTGGGACAGAAGTCCCCTGTATTTCTCCTTTCCTAGCAAAGCAATAAAACTTCCTTTTTCTCAAAACCTGTGTCCTTGTTGTTGGATTGGCATCTGGGATAAGGATCGAGCTTTCTGTAACACTACCTAACTGAAATTTTGTGTCCTTTGACAAACACCTCTCCACTCCACCAGTGATTCTGGTAACTATCATTTTATTCTGTTTCTACAGGTTAAGACTTTTTTACACTCCACACACAAGTGAGACCATGTGGAATTTGATTTTCTGTGCCTGGTTTATATAATGTCCTCTGGGTTCATCCACGCTGACCCAAATGTCAGGATTTCCTTCTTTCAAAAGAAGGCCGAACAGTATTCCATTGCATTTACACATTTTTCTTTATTTGTTCATCCACTGATGAATACTTAACCTAGGCTGATTCTTGTTTTAGTCCACTTGTGCCACTACAACAAAATACCTGAGACCAGATAATTTATTAAAAAACAAATTTATTTTTCATAGTTCTGAGGTTGGGAAATCCAAGATTAAGGAATCAGCAGAACTAGCATCTGCAGAGTACTGTTCTCTGCTTCTAATATGGCACCTTGTTGCTGTGTCTTCACTTGGTAAAAGGGGAAAAAGGGATGGAAGGGGTGAACTCTCTCCCATAAACCCTTTTATAAGGGTTCTAATCATATCCACGAAGGCAGTTTTCAGGGCCAAATCACGTTCTGAAGGCCCCACTTAATACTGATGCATCGGGGGATGAAGTTTCAGCATGAATTCTGGAGGGTACACACACATTCAAACCACGGCAATTCCATATCTTAGCTATTGTCAATAATGCACAATAATCAAGGGAGGATTGACATCTCTTCAACATACTGATTTCATTTGCTTTTAATATATATCCAGCAGTGGGATTGTTGGATCATATGGCAGTTCTAGTTTTAATTCTTTAAGGCACCTCTACATTGTTTTACATAATGGCTATACTAATTTACATTCCAAACAATAGTGTACTGGAGTTTTCATCAAAATTTATCTTTCTTTTTTTTTTGACAATAGCCATTCTAACAGATGTGAGGTGACATCTTCTTGGGTTTTAATTTGCATCTCTCTTATGATTAGTGAGGTTGAACATTTTCACATACCCTGTTGGCCACTCATGTTTGTTTTTAATGGTGCTAGGATTGAGCCCAGGGCCTTGTACATGCTAGGCAAGTGCTATACCACACTAAGCTATACCCCAGGCCCTGTATGTCTTCTTTTGAATAATGTCTATTCATGTCCTTTGCCCATTTTTTAATCAGGTTATTTGTTTTCTTGATATTGAGTTGAGTTTCTTATATATTTTGAATATCAGTAAACTGTCTTGCAAACATTCTCCTATTCCATAGCTTTTTACTTCACTTTGATGTTTCATTTGCTGTGCATAAGCTTTTTAGTTCTATATAAATCCATTTATCTATTTTTGGTTTTGTTGCCTGTGCTTTTGAGCAACAAAAATCTTTTCCAGGCCCAATGTCATGACACTCTCCCCTGGTTTTCCTCTAGTATTTTTATAGTTTCAGGTCTTACACTTAAGTCTTTAATCCATTTTGAGTTGATTTTTTAATCAACCTATAAGGTGTGAGATGAAGAGCTAATTTCATTCCTTTGCACATGAATATCCATTTTCCCCCAAAAAACTTTATTTGATCTAAATAACAAACTAAGGCAATATTATTGCTCCAAAATGCAAGCAGAAGATACTACTGTAAACATTCATTCAGAAAACAAAATAACAAAACCAGCTTAGATGTTACAAATAAAATAGCAAAAATCTTGAATTCAACATAAGAACTTCCTGTTTCCAGTCATAGCAAGCTAGCTTATTTGGATCAGTTACCACTATTCCACTTTATTAAAACTGGAATATAATCTATATAAAATATATTTCAAAAAAAGATAAAGAAAGACAAGCCAAAATAATAAGGAATTGCAAGGTCACAGTAAAATAAAAGAGAGGATCCAGAAAGATATAAAAGCACACAAACTGCTTCTTTCCTAGGATGTTTGCCAATCCCAAAAAACTAGATCTTAGTTTTAATAACACAGCAGGAGATAAGGGGATAGAATTCTGTTACGTGGTTATTAAATCAGAATTCACATAACAGAATTTCAAGCCTTAAACTTGGTTTAAGGTAGTCCCAGACTAGTAGTGACCCCAAGTACAAGGCAAAAGAAAATATAAACACTATAAATACAATAAAATATACAACTAATCACAGAGAGATGATTCTAACAAACATCATGTTAAATGGAAGAAGTCACATACAGGAGTTTATATTGTGTGATATAATTTATATGAAGTTAAAATCTAGTCCATCCTGATACAAATCAGAATAGTTGTTACCTTTGAGAAAGGTATTTAACTGAGATAGCCTATGGAAATTTCCTTATCTTGATCGTGGTGGGAGTTACATGAAAAAAAAAAAAAAAAAAAACCCATGGGCTGGGGATATAGCTCAGTTGGTACAGTGCTTGCCTCGCAGACATAAAGCCCTGGATTCAATCCCCAACACCACCAAAAAAAAGAAATCCTTAAGTGCTCACTTCAATAGCAGGTACTCTAAAATTGGAATGACACAGAGAAGACTAGCATGGCCCTGGAGCAAAGATAACACATGAATTCATGAAGCATTCCATATTTTTAAAGAATGAAATTATGGCATTTGCCAGTAAATGGATGGGACTGAGAACATCATGCTAAGTGAAATAAGCCAATCTCAAAAAAACCAAAGACCAAATGTTGTCTCTGATATGTGGATGCTAACCCACAATTAAGGAGAGTAGGCAAGGAAAAAATAGAATTTCATTGGATTAGACAAAGGAGAACAAAGGGAAGGAAGGGGGGATGAGAATGGGAAAGACAGTAGAATAAATCAGACATAAATTGCCTTTACTCATATATGAAATACAAGTGTAACTCCACATTATGTACAACCGCAAAAATGGGATCCTAATTGATCCACAGAAACCATTGCTTTCAGGGAGGGGGTGGGTGTGGGCATGGGTTGTACTCCATGTATATATGTCAAAATATGCTTTATGGTCATACATATCTAAAAATAACAAATAGAAAAGTTGAAAAAAATGTACTTAAACTAAAGGTCATTTTACAGTTAGAAAACTTTTTACCATAAATATGTACAATTATGCATCAATTAAAAATGTCAAAAGAAAAAAAATAAAATTACATGATCTCAAAAAAATCTTTAAACTGTACATATTAGATTTGCCTACTTACGAATGTTACACCTTAATGAAACCTTAAAAATGACAGTGAAATAAAGAAATATTCAGATAAAAAAGAAAACTATTATTAATTATTTTCAGCCTTGGCAAATAGTAAAGAATGTTAATTTAGTTTATAATCTAGGTTGGTCCAGAAGATTGATTCAAAAGCAATCGTTTCTTTTTTTTTTTTTTTAGTTGTCAATGGACCTTTATTTTATTTATTGATACGTGGTGCTGAGAATCGAACCCAGTGCCTCACACATGCTAGGCAAGTGCTCTGCCACTGAGCCACAACCCCAGCCATATATACATGGAGTACAACCCAGGCCCACACCCGCCCCCGCCCTGAAAGCAATGGTTTCTGTGGCTTTTTTTTTTTTTTACCACAGCTATTCTACTTCAATGATTTTGACTTTTATAATTTATACTAGAAAAAGATAACCTCTAACCATTCACATTTACCAAAAATTTCAGTGACATCTTAACATTTTACTCTCTGAAAATCAATCTTTTATCAATTAATAATAGCCTCAGACAATTTACACTGACCTTCTTATACATGACCATCAATACTGACCATCAATAGTCAAAGTATGTAACAAACAACTGGGTGTTCACTGTTCTAATTTTTAGAATCTAGAAGGCCATGAATATGTTATCCCTTAAGCTAATCAATTATACTCAAAAAAATCAAGGAAATGAGAATCCCAGACCTAAATAGAGAAATTTTTCATATGAAAAGTCACTAGTTATATTTCCAGATTACAAAAATGACTCCTAAGGTCAAAGACATGAAAGGTACAGTCCTTTCTCAGAATCCACAGGAGACTGGCTCCAGAGAACCTCCCACAGATACTATCTGCAGATGCTAAAGTCCCTCAAATAAAATGGCCTAATATTTGCATATAACCTATTCATGTCCTCCTGCACATCTTCCCAAAAACTTTAATTCATCTCTAGATTATTATTAATACCTAATACAATGTAAATGCTAGGTAAATAGCTATTATACTGAATTGTTTCAGGTATAACAACAAGAAAAAAAATTTTATATTTCCTGTATAGTGTAATTTTCTTTCCTGAATATTTTCAATCCACAGTTGGTTGAATCCACATGTGTAGAACCCACAGATGACTAACTATGTACACCTTGAGGGAAAAAAACTAAACCACCCTAGTATTCAAAACATAATGAGTATAAAGTTATAGCGATCCACTGAATTCTTCCACTGAGTCAACAAATATTTGAGAGCTGATTGAATGCCAATTCCTTTCCTAAAAATTGAGTATACAGCAGGGACACAGCTGGAACACAACAGATACCTTTTACTCCTAAAAACAACAAAATAATAGTGTGCCAAAAGTAGGAAAATCTACCTCCATACATTTATGCTTTTAAAACTATAACAAGTATAGAATACTATTTCACATCCCTCATGAGATTTTTTTGTTGTTGTAGTTGGATACAATACTTTGATTTTATTTATCCACTGAGCCACAACCCCAGCCTCTCCATGAGATTTTTTTAAATCTGCTAATTAGTTCCCAAGAAAAACTGCCCCTAAACAACAAATATTAATAACTAATTTGGTTATTTTGGTTATAATAGGGATTTTTTTTTCTTCTTATTCTTCTCTTAGTTTCCATACAAATTCTAAGTGCTGAATCCCACATTAACAAAGCAGTCAGATATTATCTTACAATGCCTGACAGCATCCCTTATGCTATGAAAGAAGTTTCAAAGGACTAGTCAATGAAAATTATGCAAAAGCAATCATAGGTTTTACCACAACTTATTTTAGGAAAAAAAGGAAAAACAATGAAAGGTACAGATTACAATATTATATTATCTGTAACCCCAACAGTCTATGATCAAAGTGTAATTTCCAGTTTATTTATTTTTTAGTTTTCGGTGGACACAACATCTTTATTTTATTTGTATGTAGTCCTGAGGATCGAACCCAGTGCCCCGCGCATGCCAGGCAAGCACGTTACCGCTTGAGCCACATCCCCAGCCCATAATTTCCAGTTTTTAAAGCATTTTTCCTTCTATCATCAAGGGGTACACCAAGCAGAGGGAGAAACAGGAATAAGTAGAGATGTGAGGAGATAAAAGGAGGGTTGGAAGATATTGATGGAGCTGAAGCATTTGGTTTATAAGAGCAGTGGGCAACAGATGGGAGGAGAGGTAGTTTGGGATTGAGTGGCAGGAATGAGAAATTTAGATTCTCTTTGGGAATCATTTTGTTACATGAGAAAACTCACAAACTAATAATTAAAGCAGAAACTGGGGTATTAAAACTCACTGCTTTTTCCCAGTATATACCCCCTTTATCTTCAGAAACAACTCTAGTAACTAAATTGACATAAAAGTAAAAATAATAAGTCACAGATAAGAAGGGAGGACAATACAAACAAGTTGCAGTAATAATGTAAGTAAAAAATAAATACAACTGGGGGCTGGGACTATAGCTCAGTGGTAGAGCACATGTGAGACACTGGGTTGGATCCTTAGCACCACATAAAAATAAACAAATAAAATAAAGGCATTCTGTCACTCTACAACTATGAAAATTTTTTTTAAAAATACAACTGATTTCAGAACCATATCATATTATTAAAAGAACCAACATACTTCCAGTATTTTTGCAGAAATGATAATACCAATACAACTTACATCTTCTAAAACCCAGAGAATTCCCCTTCCAACAAAGAAATTAGAAGAAGAAAGAGGTAATCCCTTCTACTAACACAAACTAAGATTTCCTTTGGTGGATTTTTAAATAGTCTAAATGGTCTGAAAATCGGGTTAATTATATGCTAATACCTAATTACACACACACTCTCTCTCACACACACTAGGTTCATGAGACAAGCATTCAGCCAGATCAATCTACCCTTCATCAGTCCCAATCTACCCTTCATCACTTTTCAGGCATTCTACACTTAAATTCAAGTCAAATCTAACTATTACACCGAGGTCAGCGCAGCCAACGTGCACTAAAGATCCTACCAATGTCAGGCTTTATGCCAGGCAGTATGCTGATAGCTGAGGAGAAAGCAATGAATCAGACAATAAATAAGCAATGAATAATACATGCTCTCTGCCCTCTAGGAACTTCTCAGGAACTCCCACATGCATAACCCTCCTTATTTCGAAACCCAGGTGAAATGATACAGCCTTCCTAAAGCTTTCCATACAAAGAATCGAGTAATTTTTCACAGCTTTAAATTCCATTAGTCACTCTCTACTTGTTTCAGGGTTACTTCTAAAGTCTTATTTCACTTTATATGCTATTCGAGGCTCATACAGCTAGCCAACTGATCTTTTAGCATGCCCCCCACAAAGCCTAGTTTAGTGCATAGGCTATGATGAGCAAGAAATAAACATCTGTTAAACAATCAAGCATTGGTCTTTTTTTTATCTTTGTGGTATGTCAGATATACATAGTTGAACTGAAATATAAGGCAATTTTTGCATCCTATAAAACAAAACTTTAATGTATTTTTTCCTATCAGTTAATATGCTGCAGGTATGATTATATTCACCCCAAAGTATCTTTTTTTTTTTTGCTCTTAAACTGAATTTAAAAATTGAAGATTACTAGATACTACCTACTGATACAAAAGATACTCAGTTAATAAACCAATACTATTCTCTTGCCATGTTTTCTATCTACAAACAAGGGCTGATAAACAGAAATAAACAGGTAGAAAATTTTTTTGTTTTTTGTTTTTGTTTTTGTGATGCTGGGGATTGAACCCATTGCCTTGTGCATGCAAGGCAAGCACTCTACAAACTGAGCTATATCCCCCAGCCCAATTTTTTGGTTTTTGTTGTTGTTGTTGAAGTTTCCAGCCAAACACATTTTATAGATTGGAAAAAGGAGAAAAGAGAGCAAGTATTTTAAGAAAAAGGCAGCCAGGTGAGGTGGCACATGCCTGTAATCCCAGCAGTTTGGGAGGCTATAATATCAGCAGCTCAGGAGGCGGACAGAAGGATGAGTTCAAAGCCAGCCTCAGCAACTTAGTGAGGTGCTTAGTAACTCAGTGAGACCCTGTCTCTAAATAAAACATTTAAAAAAAGGGCTGGGGATGTGACTCAATGGTTAAGCATCCCTGGGTTCAATCCCCAGGAAAGAAGGAAGGAAGAAAGGTAAAGAGGGAGAGAAAGAAGGAAGGGAGGAGAGAAAGGCAAGGAAGGAGTGGAAATGAGTGGTCCTGGAAGTAGCAAAGAAAAGGAAACACCTGTTAGAGGCAGCTCTCCAGTTTCCATCTTATTTTCATCAAAATGGAATGGTGATATAAAACAGGTACCTTGATAACTCTCACCCTCCTTCATTGATACCAACACTACCTGCAATACAATGCTGAACAGGACAATTTTTTTTTTTTTAACCAACAGAAGGGAAAATAAGATATAAACAAATATTGACAGGCACAGTGGTGCATGCCTATAATCCCAAGGACTCAGAATGCTGAAGCAGATGGATCACAAGTTTGAGGCAAACCTCAGCAACCTAACAAGGCCCTAAACAACTTAGTGAGACCCTGTTTCACCAAAAAAAAAAAAAAAAAGTAGAAAGGGCTGGGGGCATAGCTCAATGGTAAAGCACTGGAGATCACTCCCCAGGACAAAATATATATATATATATATATATATATATATATATATATATATATATTTATCCTATGTCTATTTTCCTAAGCTTTGAATATACAAGAAATAATAAGCCAGGGCTGTACCTACTTCAAAACCACTTGGGCCTGGAGCAGTGGCCCCAGTCTGTAATCCCAGCAGTTTAGGAGGCTGAGGCAAGAGGATCCGGAGTTCAAAACCAGCCTCAGCAACCATGGCCCTAAGGAACTCAGCGACACCCTGTCTCTAAATAAAATACAAAACAGGGCTGGGAGTGTGGCTCAGTGGTTGTATGACCCTGAGTTCAACAACTGCTACCAAAAAAAAAAAAAAAAAAACACGCTGGGCAACATAGCATATAACAAGACCTGTTTCAAAAAATAATAATATAATGTGGTAGTCCCATAATAAAGAGAATACACCCAGAAAGTATAGGCTGGAGAGAGGGAGTTAATAGGAATTGGTCAAGAGAGGGCATTCCAGATAGTAATATCAATGTAGGTTACTATTTTGGAGTTACAAAAGTAATACAGGTTGAGAACAGCTAATTTGAAAATCTGAAATCCCAAATTTTTGCAACGTGCTGGCACAAGTGGAAAATTCTACACCTGACTTCCTATGATAGTCACAGTCAAAACACAAGCACAGTAAAAATGCTGTATAAAATTATCTTCAGGTTATGTAAGATGTATATGAAACAAATGAATTTTGTGTTTAGATTTTCAAAAATACCTCATTATGTAAATGCAAGTATTCCAAACTCTTAAAAAAAAAAAAAAAAAACTGGAAATCTGTTCTGGTGCCAAGCATTTTAGCTGTCACCTCAAAATGACTCTAAATTTTATCAAGGTAGAGCCAACACCATAAGTCTTCGAAATAAATATCACCACACACACACTGTACTTTCTGTATGCCACACACAATAATTGCTTTATTTTTTGAACAAAACTAAATTCCAACAGCAGTTTCGTGTCTTTGAAAAAATGATAGAGAGCCAGTCATGATGGCTGTAATCCCAGCAACTCAGGAGGCTGAAGCAGAAGAATGACAAGTTCTGTACCAGGCTCAGCAACTTACGGAGGTCCTCAACAACTTAGCAAGACCCTCTCTCCACAGAAAGTGAAAAGGACTGGGGGATATGGCTCAATGATTAAGCATCCCTGGGTGGTTCAACTCCCGGTACCAAAAAAAAAGGGATGTAGAAATAAAAATTTCATAGGGTGATCACGATGACTTGGGAGGCTGAGACAGGATAATCGCAAATTCCACACCAGCCTTGACAAGTTAGTGAGACTATATCTCAAAATAAAAATCAACAAGGGCTGGGGATGTAACTTGGTGCTCTTCTAATTATGAAAATGGGAAACAAAACTATATCCAGTTCTGTTCATGACACTGCAATCAATCAGAACGTACTAAGTAAAAAGGTATTAATAATTAAGATCCTAATCAATGTAAAAAGCTGAATTTTACATAATTCATTTATGTACATTCCTCCCCATTATTAGAACAATTAATGTTATCTTAGAAACGGAATAGATAGGTTCCTGCGATATTTTTCTCTTGGATGGTGTGTTTGCAGACAGGGCAGGTACTAGTTCATGTTGCAGGAGATTCCTGGGCTCGCTAAATAGGGGTTCAACTAGATGCATTCTAAAGTCTTTCAGTTAAAAAATTCCCTATCTGTAAGACGTGAAAAATAAGAAAACATTTTGTTCTTCAATTAATCGGATTTGCTTTCACTTCCATCCTAACAGTTCACCTACATAACTCGAAAGTTATTTCTCCCCTTTCTGTGCAGAGATTTCCCGAGACTCTCGCAAACAAAAGGCACGGAAAATATGCACAGGTGGGATAAAAAGGGGAGTGGCCGAGGCCGCGCGGCTCTCGGGACAGCGCCCCCACGCTGCGGGTTTCTCCTGCCGCACCTGAGAAATCACTGCCCTCCACACCTCCACCCTCCCGTGGCGGCGTCGGGAACAAATTCTCAGACCTATTACCCTCCACCCGCACCTTGGCCAGATACTGGGCATATTCTGGAGCCTCCAGAGCCCAAGAAAGGCAAGGAGAAAAGAGAAAGAAAAGGAGAGAGGACGAGAGAGGATAAAGAACGGAAGGGAAATAAAGCAACCCAGCGGCCGCGCGCTCCTTTTGGCAAAATTAGCTTCCCCAAGGATCACTCAATCTAATTCAGATCACAAAAGCCAATGCTGCAGCCCAAGGGCTGAAGCCGGGGTAACCCAGTCGGGAGTCCCCCAGAGGTACGCCGATCCGGAGAACTAAGGCACGGAGAGGGAAAATGGGTGTGTGGGCTGGGCCTGGCTGGCCGGAGGCCGGGCTCCGAACAAAGCCGCCCAGCTCCCCCTACCTGGGGCTTGGGCGGCGCCGCCCCGCAGGGAGCCGCCCCAGCCCCACAGTCACTAGCCCCGGCTGGGGGTCGCAGAGGACGCCCTCCCCGCCAGCGAACTGCGCCCCTTCCGGACAATGGGCCCCCTCCCCCGCCTCCAGGCGGGCAGATACAAAGGGAGAGGAGAGCAGCCGGCGCGGAGCCAAGCGTCCGGAAAGTGAAGGCGGGGAAGGGAGAGAGGACGCGAGAAGAACGCGGCGGACGCGGGAGCCCGCGGGCCTCTGCCGGGCCGTCCAGGGCGCTGCCCCTCCGCGGCGGCGGAGGCGGGAGAGTGGTCTGGCCGTCCCTTCGACCGCCCAGCAGAGGAGGGAAGAAAGCGCCACACACAAAGAGGAGCGGGACTCCCACCATCCGACAGCGCCGAAGCGGGACCGCCTGACGCGCTCTGGCTGCCGACGGTCAGCGGCGCCCGCCAGCCCGCGCCTCCAGGGAGCTGGGGAACCGTGCGGGGCGCCCCTCTTTCGCACTCACCCACAGCTCCGTGCCCCAGCTCATGGCGGAACTTGAGGCGACTCGGATCGTCTGGCAGATCCGCTGTCGGTACGTCCGTCGGCTTCGCAGTCAATGTGTCCGACTTCTTCTTCTGGCTAGCCGGCAGGCTCGCGTCTGAACGCCTTTGCCTCGAAAGGTGCCGCCACCGCCGGGTTCCCCAGTGAGTGAGAGAGACACGACTGGAGAAGCCGCCGCCGCGTCCCCGCCTCCCGGAGCCGGGAGGGAGGGGGCCTGGGCCAAGGGAAGGCGGGACGTGGAGCGGGGAGGGGGCGGGGCGCGGTGCACCCTGGGATCGGGGCGGACCCGCGCTCGTTTGGCTGCGACCGGCGGGGTCCCCTCGAGGATGTCCTCCCCACTCGCCTCTCACGCACGAGGTCTGTTCTCTGTGTCCCTTGGTAGGCGGACCGTCCGCCCCACTCCTGTCGCCACTCGGATTCCTGCCTCCAAGATGGAAAGGGAGAGGAGGAAAAGACGCCCACTGCCCCTTCTCTGCCCGGAGCTCCCTTAACTGAGGCAACTGCAGACACCCGCATTTCCCGCCGGTGGTTTCCTCGTCTTCGGAGCACCCTGACAAAGAAACCTCATCCACATCCTCGGGTTTAGATTGAGGAGGGGTGGGTGTGTGGGTGTGTGGGGCGCGGTGTTAATTAAAAATCTTGTTGGTTTAGGAGATCTCTCTTTTCAGGCCTGATGCTTCGATCTTAACGTTTTTGGGAATCATTGAAACGTGGAAGGTTGAACGTCAAATGCGAATACAGCATGCCTCCGATTCTCTTTTTAATAAAGTATTATAATTTTACTATAAGTTATTTCAGAAAATCATGAAAAAGGACAAATCGTCCGATAATTATTTGGGGAAGTTGTCACGGCATGAGATAGGAGTCCATTTCTCTTATCTCCTATGCAGGTGGCCCAGCTGGTCACCTGCAGAAGATGAGACACGAAGAAGTTTGCCTGATTTCTAGGATGGGCACCTGTGGGTGGGGGTTCAGTGGGAGGAGAGGCCAGGTGTCTCCCTGATCGTGCAAACAACCTATTAAGAACTTCTAATATCATCTATCTCAGAATATACAAACCTTGGAGACAGGTCCATCACTTTTTTCCCCCCCTCTATAGAATTGTTTTCCTAACTCCATAATTAGGCAGTCAGCAGTTTGGCTAGTGCTTCTAGATATCAAGTACTTACGCTTATAATTGGTTGTCTCCGAAAACATTTTTCAATCCAGTCAACTAGTAGCGTACTCAGTGAGTAATGACAGCTGGGTGTCCTCCCAACAGGTTCTGTGTCAGCATTTGAAACTCCTCCCCCGACGTGGCCAACACTGGTGAACCGGATTCTTCTGCTTTAAACCGGGTTCTTGCACTCCCTCAGGGTTGAGGCACTTAGCTGGAGCTTTCTGGATAGTACAACCTCTACTCTTGCTAAATAGTTTGCTGCTCTTCTCTGAGGTAGCTTGAACATACAGATTCCATATGAAATGCTTAGTTGTACCATGCCATGGAAGTCTCTGGAACATTGAACACAACACCCTAATATTTTTCTATACTGTCTCTATTTCAGATAGAATTTCTTCAAGGTTATTTATATCACCTAACACTGCTAACCACTTCTTTCTCATCTCTCTTCCTCTCACTCCCTAGACATCTTTAAATGTGTTGAGCATTCACAAATAACACTAATTAGTAATGGAAATGGATGTAGTTATCAAATGAATGTCTCATTGTTTAGAACCATTCCAATTCTAAGATTTATTATATCTAAATACTGTCAAAAAGTTAAGGCATAAGGACTACAATTTAAATGAAAATTGTGTTTTCCCTTTAAAAAGTAAAATAATCTACCATTTGTGTTAAATATTATCCCTAATCATGCTGTCTACATAATTCCCCAATAGAATATAAAGTCTTACCTCCAAGATAAGCATTTTTCTTCCAAATTTTCTAAACAGATTCCACACTTAAAACAATTTATTTCTCTTCAAAAAAGTTAGATTTGTGGGCATCAAACTTAATATATCAAACATATACATTTTTCAATATTCTCCATTACTATGAATTTAGGCATAATTCATATGACCAACTTAAATTGATAATCTCCTAAGCAATTATTTGTAACATACAAAATTATTTCATATTAAAATCACTATTTACTTCAATGTTTTCAAGCAAAAGTGATTAAAAAGTGAAAACTACGGCCAGGGGAGTAGCTCAGTGATAGAACACTTGTCTAGCATGCTCAAGGTCCCAGGGTTCAATCCCCAGCACAACAAAAGAAAAAAGAAAATTCTCACAATGAAGTGTTCTATTTAGTGTCATATTTTGTTTCAAAAATAAAGATTAATCAGATTTCAAAGTATTCCTTTTTATAACATTTCTGGAACTATATAGGCATTTTAGCTGACAGATGCACAAATTTGTTTTTTGCACAAATTCATGTGTATTATCAGCATGGCAATTTATAAGACTGAGTTTTTACATAATCAGAGTTATTTGGATATAGTTATTTTTATATGTGATTAAATCTTTATGAACCCATGGGAAGGCATTTTGTAGCAGTTCAAACACATGGTTTTTATCTCTTAAGTTAAAACATAACTCAAATCTTGTTTTGTATTTTTGTTTTGGTTCTGTGGATTGAACCTGAAGCATTTTACCACTGAGCTACATCCCAGATCTTTATACTTTTTATTTTGAGACAGGGTCTCTGTAAGTTGTCCAGGCTGTCCTCAAATTTGGGATCCTCCTTCCTCAGCCTCCAGAGTTGCTGGGATTACAGGTATGCACCACTGCACCTAGCTGATTACTCAAATCTTGAAAGAAATATCTCTTTGGTATAACAAATATATTAATTTATACCCCCATATCATAACTTGAATCATTAAGTTATACAAAAACCTGTCAATTATACTTTTGCTATTTGACTTCTTGGCAATCAATTACCATGTAGTTTCTATTTCATATTAGATATTTTATAAGGTAATCAACACTAAGAAAGAATTACGGGAATAATTATTTTACTTATTAATAATTAATTTATATTAATAATTATTTTCACAATGAAGTCACTCTACTGAATAAATCAAAAGGCATTACATTGCCATGGCTCTTTAACAATTTAAATTCCAGTGCACTCTTTTAATTATGAAAATACTTTTATTGATTAATTTTCTCTTCAAACTTACAGTTGAATCTGGTCTATAATAAACCACTAAAGTGTTACCTTTTTTTGATATCATGTAGTAATTCAAATGTAAATCCCTTTTATAATTTTTTTATCCTGATTGGGTGTTTCAAGTTTTTACTCATTTACTTACTTACTTACTTACTTATTTGTACCAGGGATTGAACCCAGGGGTGCTTAACCACTGAGCCACATCCCCAATCTTTTTTATTTTTTTTTATTTTGAGACAAGGATCTTACTAAATTGCTTAGGGCCTCACTAAATTGCCTAGGCTGACCTTAAACTTGTGGTCTTCCTATCTCAGCCTCTGAAATCACTGGGATTACAGGGCTTTGCCACCATGCCTGGATCAAGTTTTATTTATTTATTTATTTATTATTTATTTATTTAATTGTAGTTGGACACAATACCTGTATTTTATTTATTTTTATGTGGTGCTGAGGATCAAGCCCAGCGTCTCGCATGTGCTAGGTAAGTACTCTACCACTGAGCCCCAACCCCAGGGCCTCAAGTTTTATTTTTAATTGATACATAATAATTGTCCTCTTACAATTTCTTGTTATAAATATTTAGCTAATTCCACTTTCAGTTTCAAAATTTCCCAGCATGAATTCTTTTTTAAGTCAGGATGTAAAACATAGTTCTTTGAATAATTTACTGTTCTAAATACATCAACCTCCAACCATAAATCAATCCTTTAGTTACAAGAAAAAAATAAAGCTACATACCAACTTGATATCCCAAGTATAGTGTGTATGTATCAATGTCCCATCCATGATTAGTTACCAATAATATAGAATTTCCACTACCCAAAGGCAACAATCTCTAGCATGAACAATAGCAACTTACTTTTTTCTCATTTAAATATCTTAAGACTGTGTCTTAAAAGTAAAACTATAGGGGCAGTTCCAAATAAAATTATCTAAGTAGCTAGGCCAGAAAATCAAGCTAAAACTGTTAGGAAGAGTATCAAACGCTGCTTGGCATCTCCATTTTAATGCTGCAAATGAAGCACCAAAGAAATGGAATCATGCTAGCATACTGATTCCATGCCAGCTATATAAAGAATAGCACTGGCTAGTTAATAGTCATCACTACTTTCTGTCCTGCCAGTTTTCCTAACCAAGAATTGGAAGAAATTCAAACTTCAAGGGCATAGTTTAAGGTGGCTCACTAGAGGAAAAAAAAAAGAGAGAGAGAAAAAGAGGGTAGGAGAGAGATATAGACTATGCCTTTTGGGATTCTACTGTCCATTATCAAACCTAGTTAAAGAATCTCATGTAATTGCTTTAATGAATCTTGGCAAAAAGAAAAAGAAAATTCTATACAAATCAAATGGTGTTGATCTAGTTAAAGAAGTAACTAATTTCTACTTTTCTATGATAATTGGTTATCTCCCAATGTCTAAAATACTTAAATGTTTCTAAAATTGCACAGAATTTTGAAAGCATTTAAGTGTTTATCTAGATTAAAGTTTCTTCAAAGTAGAAAACAGTGGAACCAAAGTTACGGATTTATTTATTATTTATTGTATCTTCTGAAACCCATTCAAAATTTCTACTAATTAAATTCTTAAAGTCTTCCTATGTTTTTGGTTTTTTTTCCTTCTTATTGGTTTTGTTTGTTGAGGAGGTTGGCCTGTGTTGACAAATTTCCAACTATATGAATCAATTAACCAAGAGAACACATGGTTCTCTGTTTCAGGTTTATGGTATTTATGAAATCCAGTTAAGTAAATCATGTAAACTCATAGAAATGAAATGGCTTGTATAGATTCACAAGAGCCAATTGTTAAATTTTTAGGAATTTTGCAAACAGGTTGTTGAAAATGTTGGCTAGTTGTCAGTCCTAGTGAGAGTATTTACACCACGGTAATCACTAAACACTACAAATCAGGGCTGCTTTTTCCTTTGGATAGCTGATTGTTAGACATTAGCATACCACTGTCTAAATCCTACATAGTACTAGTAAAGGAAATGAAAATATGCCTTAGTGTGTTGCTATATCAAAATATCACAGACTGGGGCTGGGGTCGTACGTAGCTCAGTGGTAGAGTGCTTGCCTTACATGTGTGAAGAACTGGGTTCAATCTTCAGCACCATAGGAAGATAAATAAATAAAATAAAGGTATTGTGTTCATCTACACCTAGGAATATTTTTTAAATAATATCACAGACTGGGCTAGGGATGGGCTCAAGCGGTAGCACGCTCGCCTGGCATGCGTACAGCCCAGGTTCGATCCTCAGCACCACATACAAACAAAGATGTTGTGTCCGCCGAAAAACTAAAAAATAAATAAATAAAATTCTCTCTCTCTCTCTCTCTCTCTCTTTAAAAAAAAAAATCACAGACTGGTAAATTATAGTGAAAAAAAAATTATTTTCTTCCAATTCCAAGTCCAAGGTCAAGAAGCCAGCGTCTGTTGAGGATCTTTGTGTTCCATCAACCCATGGAGGAAAACAGAAGGGCAAGAAGTGCAAGAGAGCAAGAAGGGGCCTGACTCATTTTCATAATAAACCCACTCTGGTGACAATAATCCTACTCCCATAATAACAACATTAATCTATTCATAGGGACTAGGCCTTCATGACTAATCACCTCCTTTAATGGTTGGTTCTCCCTC